TATTATACAATAATACAATAATATATCGATAGCATATTGGAAATAAATCACTATGGTCACATGTATATAACATTTATAGATATGTTTATATTATACAGGCGAACAAAATATAGTCAAGCTGTTCCTTATGAATATGAATATGAATAATAGTGAATATTTCTGTTAGCTTCTGTTTGTTTACAATTCTAATTCAACTTCACATAGTTTTTCATAATTTGGAGGATATGTATATTTCAGTTTAGTCAATAGACTACTATTCTTATGCAAAGTTGTAATAAGGTGTTTGGGTATGATTGAATTTTCTTTAGCCCAAGCATCTAAGGATTCCTTGTGTATAGCTTTAACAACTTGAACAGAACTGGCTTCATATCTGAAATAGAAATTTTTGAAATAAGGATAACAATAAAATAACGACGCAGTCAAACATATCAACGACAGTTGACATTGTCGTGTTGTTTCGTTCTCTGAGTTTAATGTTTTGGTTATGTAGCTTTCTTTGTTATTCTGAAATGCCTCAGCAGCACAAACTTCGGGTAGGAGTGAGGTTTTCGAATTTCTCCACGTTTGACCTGTATCTTGTTCTGTTAACCTCGATCTTGATTGGTTGCTATTGACCTTAAATCTGTCGTTTGCACCTTTGTTTTGGTTGGATCTCCCTCTTGATCTGTTTCTTGATCCTATGTCGCCTATGATTTATCTGATTGATCGATAAATTGGGTCAATGCTGGTATGTTTGTTAATCGCTGAATGACCTGAGGGCCAAGCTTCTAAAAATTCTCTAGTGTTCTTTGTCCTCCCCCTATCCAGTATTTTCACACTGTTCCCATCGAATGTGTGTCCATAATTGTCGGTGTGTATTGATATAAGCGAAGCGTTTTCATGGCTTTTGACTGCTGAAGAGGTTGTCCACTTTGTCCTATGCAGTGTTTTTCACAGTCTGAGCAATTTATTTTGTAGATGATATTTGGTTTTTCTTCCTTTTTCATTTTGTCCTTTGGTCTACATAGGATTGATTGAAGTTATCCTGTTGGTTTCTGTGCCACACCTATTCCAAATAGTTTCTGTAGTCGTACTGTATGCTCCTATATGTGTTTTATGTAAGGTAGGATGATCCGTTTATTGGTTCGTGTACTTAATTTTGCTTCTGTTGACGATTTCAGTTGATATTTTTTGATGAAACTGCGTAGATAGCCGTTCTTTTGGAAGATAGTCATAAGATGTTTTTCCTCATTTTTTAGTGCTTCATATGTGCTGCAGTGTGTCTTCGCTCTCTTGAACAAAGTTCAAATGCAGTTGATTTTGTGGGTTCTTGGTTTATTGCTACCGTAGTTGAGAATTACGTCTTGGTCGTTTGGATTCCGAAATATTTGAATCTTCAGTTTTCTTATGTTAGTTCTAGTGATTAGTACATCCAAGAATGTCGGTTCGCTATGTAGACGACACATTTGTCATTGTCAATTGGAACGAACTGGAGAACCACTACAATCGGATCAACAACGTCTTCGATGACATAAAATTCAAAATAGAAAAGGAATCAAACAACAGTCTATCATTCCTAGAGAAAGATATCGAAAGAATGAACGAAAATTGAAAAGTACTGGAAAGGGAAGCCCAGGACAGAATAGGTTGCAGAATACTGGTCGGCGGCCTAGGCTCCCTTTGTGGGGCAAAAGGCGTGTAGAAGAAGAGAGTCGATAATATGCTTGTTTTGAAGATAAGCTGTAGACATGTTGTCAGTAAATTATGTCTTTTACCGATAAATCACTAATCTCTCCTGCTTTTTCTATCTTTGTTTATTAAACTAGTGTTGGTTTATCTGCACTACAGTTATCTGTTTAAGAACAAATGTATATGGTACTCTCACTGATAATTAATAATCTAACTACATATTGCAACACAAATTATGTTGCACAGATTTAACAATTCAACCTAATAACATTCCACATAAAAATTAAAATGACAGCAATCCATGTACTCGTACTATCATGTTGAATAATTCGAAAGATGAACGTTTTTGGTATTGTGGAAATGGTTACCATAACAGAGCAGCTAATTGAACTTGACCTTAATAACTTCAGGTACAATATCACTATACAAAGATGCTTTAAATATTTATTGAATAAATACGTTTGTTTGTTAGTCATGATCTGTATATTGATTGCTTTCGTGGATCAATTATATTTCAAAGCCTACTACTACTTACTGTACAATAGTAAGTAACATGAAAGCTAATCAGTTGCACTGACATTTGTTAGGCAATTTTGAATTCTCAATGCTAACAACAATTACAAAACATTGAACTGTACAGAAATAGACATAGAACAAAAATTTTCAGATGCTGAACAACTGTTTGATAATGAAATTTATTGATGATAATTTAGATCACGATTAACTTACTTATTTAGCATGGAAGTATTATTGACAAACTTTTCATGATTCAATAGTCTATCATCCCATGGAAGATCCAGAAAATCTAGAAATAGAAGCATTTGCTTTAATCATACAACTATGCGTATCGTAGCGTTGTTTAATTTGACAGCGAAATAAGAATGATGAGAGAATGTATATGCATGAAGGTGTGTTTCGCTGACCATGTGAGTTTAGTCATTCAGCCTTACTTGTTAATGAAGTTTGAAATATTCAACTGACAGACAGACAGATACCACATCAGTACAGAGAAGCTACTGTCAGTTCAAATCCGAGAGCGTTAGCGATAGTAGAAGTATTAGCAGTAATGGAGAAGATTAGGGAGCGAAGATATGATCCGAGAAGTATAATTCAGTAAGATAAATTAAGGAGGAGAAAGATGGAGATTTTGAGGAATTCAGAAGGTTGGAATTTCACAGAACACAGAGTGTGTACACCTGAGCCATTGCAAACAGTTTCGAGTCATGTCACTCAATGTATCTAACCATTGGTGACTATCGTCTCGCGGACCCCAACCAGATAGCCTACATCTACCAACATGACTCAGTCCTCTTGTCAGTGACTTCATGGATTTCTGCCATGTTTTGGTCTGGCCGCCCCTAGATTTCTTCCAGCCTACTCCTACACCACAAAACATAGCTCGTCACGGCAGTCGGTGGTTAGGCACACGTAACACATGTCCCAACCACCTCAACTGATGAAGTTTCACTACTTCATCTATTGATTTGCCGTCCCTAACTAGAACTTGTTTCCTAAGGACAGTAATTGCTTATACGGTTGTCCCAGTATACACGAGCAATGCTTCGGAGACACCGATGATCGAAGACTAGTAGCCTGAGAAATTCCTCTACCCTTAACGGTCATGTTTCCGTATAGTAAGCCGTAGCGAACTACTGCACAGTACACTCGTCCTTTGGTTAGCAAACGGATATCTCGTCTGCGCCATAGGTAACGCAGGTTGGAAAAAGCTAACCGAGCCTAGGGTACCCGTGTTGAGATTTCGTCCGTCACCAGGCCATCAGCATTGACGAGACTCTCAAGATAAATGAAGCGGTCTACACGTCCGACTACTTCACTCTCTTTCACTAGTTCAGGTGCCGATGCAACTCAATCGTGAAGCAACATTTTGCGTTTCGAGGGTGAGAACCGCATCCCTAACATGTTTGCATTGTTGCTTAGGATAGTCAGAAGACTGCGCATTTTGTCAGCATTCAACTGACAAAATAACTGGATGTTTAAAAACAGTGATGGAGAAAATGTGTAGGTCAGGTGGACGATTCGAAATAGGGATATGTAATTATAGTAACAACAATAACAAAAATGATACTTCAATAGTAAACAAACTGCTAGATTTCGTTGTTACTGTCATTTTGCGATGAAGCTAGTCTTCTAGTTAGATTGAATGAAAGTACCAAAGAATAACTACAAAACTACGGATAGTAAATCCGACATCTGAATGCAATTTATTCTAGTATCGAAATAAACTTGTATCATCAGACATTAACGGTAAGGAGTAATATTTCCACTCAAACCTTTTTGTTATTGTGCATCGCAGTATCTTGTTTGAATATGAATACCTTCAGATCATTGATTTATAAATTAAATTAATATGCAGAAAAGTTGAATCTTACCCAGGATTTTTTGAATTTCTCTCTTTGGATTTAAGACAAGACACTCATAACGTACAGTCATACATCGATTACGTCCAACGTATTTGCAATCGTTTAGTATTTGTGATGTAAAGCCTTCCCAATGTTTAAGTGCTTGAGGAATTTCATTCGACTTGTAAGCTGGATTTATTTGACGTCTGAAATAAAATAGTAAACGTAAAGTTATCATCAGCATCTTTACCAAATACTTGTCTTCATCATGTATTGTGTGATGAAATACTGTGGCGCTGTGGTGCGAACTACTTATAAGTAGTATATAACGTGAGTGTCAACGTAAAGTCTGGTAGCATAATATGGGGGGAAGATCAAGAAAGGAAGAGTTAGAAAACTATGGAATTTGTATGAAACGCATGAATAGTGACAATGAATTGATGTTTGGCAACAGGAACAGTCCAGTTCCATAGGATAAACTGATCTATTGCAAATGAACGATTTACGATATGGTTTTCCGATTTTACTGAGTAACAATTCGGTTGCCGCACCTGTGTTCTCATTCACTACAGTACTAACTAGTAAGAGATTGAAATCTTGCTAATTCTGATGTAAAACTACGCATATCAAAGATTTCTACAGATGTATTCCCCTATAAACTAAAGTACTGTAGAGGAGTGTGTTATTAACGGAAAAGCGTTTTGGTGAATAATAATACAACAGAATTCACTGTGAATTGCATAATCTGAACTAATACATTTCTACGAACTACATGGAAAATAAGTAGATCCTTGGATTTATGTGTGGTTTAGATGACTCCTGTTGATTGTTCAAACGTGAAGAAGTTGGAGATCAGTTGGTCGGAATGGCTGCTCGAAGTGCACTATTTGGTGGCTCAGTAAAGCGTGCAGGATACAAGCACAGGGCGTTTGAACCCGCCTCGCTGTACTTGCGATTTGGGGGTTGTGGCATGCCTTGAGGGATCGAGTTGATTGGTAATCACCCGTGCTCGGGTGACTGCTCATGCCTACACTGATTGCATGTTCAACTGGCCTGCATCAGAATCTAATCAACATGTTCGTACAAGTCTTGCAAAAGGGGGATCATGTTATGGTAGTCATGTGAACCTTCGTGCTGTGTAAAAGCATCGTGCAAGCATGTGTTTCGGGTCAGCTAGGTGACCCATAAGTAGGCGAAAATTATTCAACGTACACTATTGTGGACATTATAGCTCCTCTTCCATCACGTATTGCATGAATAAACTTAGCTTTGGGAAATAATTCACTCAAATCTCTTAGAAATATGTAAGATGAAGGATCTTTGTGACATAGTCTCTCAGCAGGTGGTCCCATATTCTTCAGTATGGATACAATGAAACCAGCAATTGCATCGTCTAGTATATTTTGCGAGATGCCAGATTGTGAGAGCATGGCTTTTTGGAATGTAGTCTTCCACCTGATGGACAAAATTTCTCTTGTAACTATTGGCTCTGGACCACATCGTACCATTGGATGAATATCTAGCAGAATACGTAATAACCCGGTACCTATTAATTGAAGTGCAATAAATAAGCGACAATAATTACGTTCTAGAAGAAATATGAGATAAATGTGATGTGTGTCGATGATTCATGTTATAACTAGTATTCCATTTCGTAATACTGAGTATTGCAATGTGACACACAAAACGACGTTCTTTTACCATCAAATGAATAAACCTGAATTCAATGAATATTGTATTTTATGTTATGTCATCAAGTTATTGTATTATTGAATATAATGTAATTTACTCAACTCATTTGTCAGAATTAATCAATGGACTCTTTGTAACATTGTGGAACAGGATATTTTTACCTGTGCATACACTATTCATGTTGCTCATGACAGGTAGTAAAGTTTAGTAGCACATGGAGAGTAGTTCTAGCAGTGCAAGTGTTAAGGAAGTTGAAAACGAAATTAACGACAAGTGTTGTGAGAGATTATTTCCATTGTTGAACCGATTTCACCAAATGAATTGTCTATTGAACACCGTGGTAATGAGAAGATCAACTTTGACTCGAGTGATTCAACTATTACATGTACATTCCAAACAACAGATGCAACAACTACCACTCAAAATATGCACAGTGATTTCTGTCAAATCACTCACTTTCTTAGCTTGTCGAAGTTTATTTTACATTACCTAATGTTAGTGATATTATGCTTCCCTACACAAGAAATATAACCAGTGTTAAGATACCCTTGAATGTGACGCCTCTTTGATTATGCATAGTTCACCTTGTCTGATGCTTTGCATTATTACCGATTCTGTCAAATGTGTCCAGTCCAAATAATTGCAGATTCACCTTCATCCAAATAAATTAACATTATTTGCATCAAGCTGATCATATTTCGAAACTGATGTGAATTGTGCAGTGATTTTCAGAATCTAATAATAATATTAATACGATCAGTTACCTATGACAATGGAGTACTGAAATCAGATAATACAATGCAGATCATCAGGAGAATTCTGTTTTATTGGAATCATAGTCCGTCAGTAACACTGGTAAATTCTATTTGGGTTGGAATTATGGAATGCAATGATTACGGAATGTTACTGTTACTGAAATTCAAACGAAGTAGAGCACAGATCATCTGATCAATTGCTATTTGACTAAGTGTGTTGAAACCATATATTCTCCTATATGTGTCATGTAAACACTGAATTACTGATAAGATACAACGTTTACTAACAGTAAATTGAATCACCTATGAAATTATGCAGAGGTTTTCTCTTATAGCAAGAGGGTTATATTTGAGTTGAAATTGAAAAGTTCAATGCGATCCAAATAAATATGGGTTATTACAACAACTCATGTGTGTTGGTGAATTCCGTTTGAAATGTTTGAGAATTATTTTCAATCTTGATGTATTCAGAGGTGTGATTTGAAGTCCACTCCACACAAAATTCGAACTCAATAAAGCAGTACTATTGTTTTAAAAGTTTATAAATCGATTGATAACGTTTTCAAAGTTCAATTTAAGGAATTTCTACTGTTTTGACCACCTCATACAATCAAAAACTATATTTATTGTCTAGTTAGCACATGTTTTAACACTGAAATGGAGAAAACTATTTCTCACTTATCAGCATACAACTCATCGTTTATATATAATCTGTTAGTTATCAGTAAGTGTTTCTTTCTCAAAAGTGTAGCATACATTACTAGATTTCGTGTGTAATACAATACTCTTTTAGTAAATGCAATAACAGTTTTCACGAATTGGCGGCTTATTAAAATAACGTCACACTGAAACTACTCACCTGAACTTTGATGACCACCAACAAAAATTAATGGCAAATTGTGTATATTCTCATCGAATTGAAGTTGATTAGGATTGTAGAAATTAGAAACGATAATTAACATCAATATACACACAGAACATATTACCAATAATTTTCCAATCTTTACACCTGATAATAATAGAATACAATTTGTTGACAATTACTATCAATACATAGGAACATTTTATTTATATAATAAATGTTAGATTAACACTCGATGGTGACATCATCATCATCATCATCATCATCATCATCATCATCATCATCATCATCATCATCGTCATGATGTAATGAAATTGTTTAGCTCTCATCCATGGCCTCCAGTGAATAAGGGTCTCTCGTCTGATACTAACTGAACTGAACTAGTCACAACTTCTCTCTCCAGAAATTTCAGTTTGTCGTGAGGCTGCTGCTGGACCCAAGCCCGAACAATAAAGAAATATTGAACACGTGGTCAGCGACCACTCCCCATAAAAAAAACTAACTCATTTAAAATTCGCTAACTAGAAAAAATAATTCAAACCATTTTAACACCTTCCTGGGAGTTAGAAGGTTTTCTTTCAGGAGAGTTATGATGTCTCATGATGAAAGCCGAGTTCTTTCGATAGTCACCAGCACGATGCCCCTTCTCACAACCAGAGCAATCATTCATTGAGGTACAAGGAATGTTCAAAATTTGAAGCAGAACAGGAGAGTTATCCGAGTAGCTGTTGTAGGTGGTTATGTGAGACCGCAAAACACATCAGACACAGGTTGGACAACTACGACTAGTTTGAGCAGAGTCGCTGTTATACTACGGTCATGAAGAAAAAGAAAATGCCTCCCATACATAAGCAGTTGCACTGATGCTGTCCAAAAATGCACAACTAGCAGTGGTAGGATGGGAATCTCATGAACTCAGGATCATCAGAGTATCCGTCAAAGCAAAGAAGGAGGGCATTACAATGAAGTTAAGAAGTGTATCAAAGCCGACAAGCTAAAATATGTAGAAGATTTAGCAATGTCGGTGGGAAAAGCTGCAAGAGAACGATACTTGAGACAATTGTACGATACAACAAAGAAGCTCACTGAAAAGTATCGTAAACCAGAACGACCAGTGAAGTTCAAGCAACGCAAAGTAATCAGCAACACTAATTAACAGCACAGCAGGTAGGTTAGGCACTTTAAGGAACTCTTGAATCGACCAGCTCCACTTCGCCTTCCCAACATCGAAGCAGCATCCACAGACCTCCCAATCACTGTTGGCCCACCAACGATTGAAGAGATCAGCATGGCTTTCAGACCAACTAATAGCGGTAAAGCAATAGAACCAGACAACTTTCTAGAAGAGGCAATGAAAGCAGACATGGCAGCTACTGTGAAAATACTCTACACTCACTGCAACAAGATTTGGGATGAAGAACAAGTACCAACAGACTGGAAAGAAGGATACCTCATTGAGATACCAAAGAAAGGCGATCTCAGCAAGTGTGAGAACTACAGAGGCATGAATCTTTTCACAATAGTAAGCAAAGTCTTCAATACGGTACTGTGAAACAGAATGAAGGACTTCTTAGATTGAATAGAACTTACCACTCTAAATCAACTCCATTGACTACGCGAAATCATTCGATAACGTAGAGAGGACAACACTATGGAAGCTTCTTCGACACTACGGTGTACCTGAGAACATAGTCAACATCATAAGGAATTCTTATGATAGATTAAACGGCGAAACTGTGCACAGGGGACAGCTAACGGACGCGTTTGAGGTGAAGACTGGTGTTAGGCAAGGTTGCTTACTTCCATCTTTTCTCTTTTTCCTGGTAATGGACTGGATTATGAGGACGTCAACATCTAGAGGGAGGTTTGTGATATAATGAGTAAATATCCATAGAGTTACTACACTGTATCAACTCAGTTTCGGTGCCATTAGAACACATAATAAATGGGTGTAATTGGAAAACTGTAAAGTACTTACCAACAATTTGTCTACACCTGATCATTTATTATATGATTTCCTCAGTGGTTTGTAACTATGTGATGAGAATAATGGTTTATAGATGATAATTTGCAAGAAATGTTGTTTATATTTTCAAGAAAAAAAACATCATCTTGATTGGTCCTTCACTAGCTTCAGCTTAATTAATAAACATGATAAAAGTATATTATTCAACCATTGTATAGATGCTTTTGACCTTAACATCATTAATCTATCATCAAACCCTAATCATTCTTATTTGATATTAAATTATTTATAAGTTGCGTACCCCTTTAACTGATTGAATTCGAAAAATACACCCACATAGTGGTTTTTAAAAGTAATTCATGCGATTGAGGACGCGTTTAATGACTGGTAGTTTTCTAATATCAATATTAAGAGATATTGAGATCAATAATTAATGCTGTAACATTCTTTATTATGCAGCAGTTAAAAGTACAAATTTCGTTGAAAGAATGATTCTGAAACAATTCTACCTGCACTAATTAACTAGATGTATATTCTGTTTGATAATATGGTGGAGTTTTGTTCTCTGAGCTGGACGTTTTGCTTGTGGAGTGCTCGTTGTTCTTTTGAACAACATCATGAGCACAAACGTTAGATAGAATTGGAGGTTCACAATGTTCGTTTAATAAAGATTTTTAGAGGTAGGTGAAAAGGATGAATGTTGTAGGAAAGTGTTATCGGTCAGAAAACAGTCTCAGACATATGAAGATTTAACAATGATAAATCCATCAATTCTTTCTGTACTATGAACAGATCCCTAATTAATCAAATGAGTGTTTATAATTGGTGTAGGATAAGTGTACACTTTTGAATCATACTTTATCCTTATCATACTTTATTGTTAGTCGGGTGTAAGTACAGTAGTTCAATTAGTTTCTGATAGGTTCACGTAAACTATTACGTAGAGTTGGTAAAAACGTTCATAGCTGAATCGCGTTAGTTTATTTTTAGTATTTTGCTCAAATCTATGGAACATGTGTGCCAACAAACAGGTTTTGTAGAGATGCATTTGTTTCTGTCACTTTCTTCGTAACTTCTAATTGGTCATTATGGTTCTCATTTTGCATTGATTTAGTTTGTATCAATTCAGAGGCCTACATTTAAATTACCATCGAGTGTAAAATATCCCAATGCGATCAAACATAATATTGTAATCACATAGGCAATGCACATAAAACATGTCACGTTGTTCATTTTAAAGAATTAAACAACAATCCAATAAAGCAGCCCAAAGATACAATGAATAGTTGACTTTCATCAGCACCCTGATGATAGAATTTACCTCGACGTTCGTTTTGTTCGAATGGCATCGAAACAATCCGTCATTAAGTATTCAACCCATTAACACCTAGCGAAATAAAAGCTGAGACATGACTCTAAAAATGTTAATTAAGCACTGGTGATTTTACCTGTTTCACATTAATATAGGATATTTACTGATTAAATAAACACACACCAATATTCAAGACAGTGGAATTGAAGTGAATCGTGATAACAACTATATCTCTTTTCTAAGAGTGTATATATTTCAATTCATCTTAAACTTGTTAACTGCTCCAACAAGTTTTGAGTTTTGTTTTATACTACTTACTACTAGTAGGTAGGATGAAATGCATTAGCTCATTTTTAGGCTTCCTAAATCAAAGAATGTACGGTCCCTTGATTTATTAATGGAAATGAAGTTAACCATCATCTTTGACCGATTGGCCTAAAAACCACATATATCATTTGAATGACCTAACCTCAGTTGACACAAAGATCAGAATGACACAGTGATCTGTACAGCTCAGTTTCTGTCAGTTTTACAACTTTTCAGCGTTGATTCCATGTTCTAACATAGACTGATCAAGTGAAATCGTAGTTCCACATTATAACATTAAAATTTTGATCTCTACAGTTTCCACGACTTGTTGGTTTCTCAACCTGGGTGTCTCCAAAATAAGTTATGAACACAGATTTCTGCCATACTCTCTACACAGAATGATAACTTTGTTAAGTTGTCAAATGAAGTTCAGACATTTGATAGCATTTAAAAGCGAATCTTACCAACTGACTAGTCAGAAAAACGGGGTCGTCATCTGTCACAGAGGTTTTCGGGATGTCTACAGGTTGTTAAAGTCTCTGCCATATACGCTGATTCAGACAGAACAAACAATTGTTTCATGATATATTTGGATTTACAAGTCATGGCAGTTTGAAATTGAACTCAGTTCGTTCAATTTATGAATGTAAGAATCTGTTCTTCTTTCATTGATTAAAATGTTGAAAAGGGAAAAAATGTGGAAAATTTCATAACATGAGTTATGTATAGCTGAATTAATGAGAAGGGTTCGAGTTCTTGAATGATCCTTCGGACCACTGTTGAGACCATTCAAGATTATAAGTTGCCTGTTGTACTGAAATGTAGAATGAAATTCTCTCCTTTCATAGTTGCCTTATATCTAGCTATAACTGGAGCATGACTGGGTTCCCTTGGCTATTTTGTAATAACTTCATAATCTTTATCAAAGAGCGATCTGCACTTTTCCGTACAATAATTGTTTTCTCTTTTCTTGAGATGTAGCTATTCACTAATGTAAAGTCAGCAACTTCGTTTCTCTTGCTTATTTTATAATTTCATTCCAATGAAAATTTTAACATATGATGTAGTTCTTATTCTTTATATATAATCATATCATCAAATTATCTACTTTAAAATGACTAAATTCATATTTTCTGTGCAGTTATACTTTCTTTAAAATTAATTAATCGCAATTCACTCTGATATCACTAATTGTTTTTCACCTGAAATCGTTTGACACACTCTTATTGGTAATATTGTGCAATCATCTTCCACTGTATTCGGTCAATAACTGCTTAACATGCGACAGAGTTGATCATGCTTTCTCATTGGTACTTCGAAATCAGCTGTCGAAAATAATGTAAATAAAATTACATAAGATTTTAAAGCAAACTACATTATGAAAGCTGCGATCAAGAGTTGGTTTTATTTCCACTTAGAAGGGAATGCATTCTCGGTCGATTTCTTCAACACACAAACAAATAACACACTCCACACGACTACAATTCAATCCTCAATCAGTAAGGACGACTACGAAATGTTGACGAAAGTCGTGCTTTTAATAAAATAATGTATGTAACCATTTCTTACCCATAAAAAATGAGATATTTATCATTATAATACTCAAATTTTATTTCAATGGTATTTTACTTATTTATTTTGGTAGTCTTAGTTTGTTTGTTGATTATCCTTTTCTGTGTCACTTTTGATCGCTTTTATGTATTTTAAATGTAATTAGTTTTTTCAATAATTCTTGTGAGCTGTTGTTGCACCTAAACTTCTGGCTGGTCACATCCTAGGGTAATTGGTCGTGTTTATAGATTATAATGAAACAATGAGAACATCATTTTCATCTGAAAAATATGATGTATTTGTGATCAGATTGTTCGATGTGTATGACGCAAATACGTCATATTTTTTCAGATCAACTTTGACTTAAATTTTATTTTTCACTTTCATTAAGTCGAAACATTTAGAACACTCGCTGTTATTCAAATCGATTTCAATAGTTGACTAGTTAAGAAAGGAAAATAATCGCTCTTATTGAAGGAATCTGTACAATGAATTACAATCCTTATTAGATCCTTGATAGTAAAAAGATAGAAACGATCAGCCTCTACAAATGTATGTTTCGTTTCATTTTGAAACTTCTCAACTGTTTTTCATGACGTTCATAATGAAGTTAGAAAACCACTTGTCTGATGTGCTTGATGTGATGATTTGTGATTTGACCTTAGAATAATCCGGTAGCTAAACCAATGAAATAGTGACTATACAGTTGATTAAATTAAAGAATTCTTTCCGGAAGTTAAAACCATTTTAGTTACAACAATTATTATAGTCCAAATCACATAAACATAATAACCAATGATTAATTTTGGAGTGTTAAATTATTTTCATAGTTTACTTAATGAAATGATCTTAGGCTTTTAAAATCCTGAATGCATTGGACAGCTGTCCCACTTCTGTATTGAACTTATAGACAAGGTGCATCCACAACTCCATTTGTGAACGAATCAAGGACCTTCAGCCTCACCTGGATCGTTTGATCTCTAAATCACTAACGCGATATCCGATGCTATACATGTCGAACGTCAATGAATTCACTATATTGCATATCGATCTTTCATTGCTTCCGGGGAGTAACTGTCTCATACTCGACGTAGTTAGACTCCCCTAGTTATGGCTTTGCATTAGATCCTCTGAAATCATATCTAGGAGTCACTGGCGGGTCAGACCAAATGTCCTAAGTTTGATTGTCTGTGGTTAGGTCGTTGGTGTGTACCGTTAAGAAGTTTGTTACGAGAATGAAACACTTGTTCAATGCCTCCAGGTTTTCAATGGTTGTCTAGCTAATACTAATTCATTTTAAAAATTATGAAACGTTTACAGTCACCATAACCCTTAATACACTAATACCCTAGTATCGCTTGTACACATAGTTGATGAAATAGTTTTAAAGTATATATTTATTTAATTGATGACAATTAGTTAATTGAATTCATCTATGATTGTAGAATAAATAGATGAATCACGTATATAACTTCAGATATATCTATTTATCAGAATTATCATTGAGTAAGTATAATATTAAAATAGCATTAATTAATATGTGAAATCGTGTTGTCTCTGTTTCACATGGAAAAAGTTATTCGAGATTGGTAAACTATGGTGTACCAGTTAAATACATTGAGTATAGGTATTATTCAAAGTAACTTACAACTGGTATAAGTTAATTACAATTGTAAATGATGCAAATTACGTGTCTAACATAAAATAACAGTTAACGATATACAACAAGTGTATTCTTTGTAATAAATAAATTATTATGGAAAGGTCATTGCAGTGAATTATAAATACTGTATGTACAATTGCAGATGAAATCGAACACATTATGTATATGTGAAAATCTAGGTATTAAAATTCACTTATATTAGATCAAAAAGGATTTTTCTGTTTTTTAGAGAGTGAAGTTGATTATCGGTCATGATTTGTATGAACTAATTATATTCCATTTCAAGAATTCAGCTTATTAAATATAATAAGATTTAGTCACTTTAATCACTCATGTTTCATGAAAGTGAAAAGTTTGTTTAGTAATGATGAAGTGTATTTCATGGTTAAGATACATTCATTGTAGTTAGTTTCAATGATAGAGTAATTTTTA